ATATCCATCATCTGAACTGCGAGGCCTGGCCCATGTTGCAGGTCTTCGCGATCTCATCGAGTGAGCAGGCTGAACTTGCGTAGACCGGACTGATGCACCACCTTGAGATCCATGGAATGTTGGACTGGGATCATTCATGCAAGGGTATTCATTCTTTGGCAATTCTCCCTTTCCAAGTTTTTCAATCAAATCCTGCAAGCAACAAAAGTCATAGTAACATGTTATTGCATGGGAAATGAAAAACACAGCCTAATTTGATATTTCTTCAACTTAGAAACATATTCTTATAGAGAGTGTTCGCATCATCAAGTGTCCCTTTCCATCATAACTTAAAAGTTTCACCAACCAGATATAAAACCTAGGTCACTCATCATAATAGATGTCAACACTGAACAGTCTAATAAAGGCATTTTAGCAGCAGCATTAATTCCTCCAACAAGGCTTTCTTGTTCTTAAAAGGTAATTTGGATCACAAGACTAGCAAACAATTGTTGCAAACAAATCTTTAATAAACTAGTCCACGAAAATCTAGTGTCTTATTGAGGAAATTCACCAATAAACAAAAGAGAGAGATGGGTGTAATATGTATCAGACATAAATACCTCAAGCATGGGGTAAAACCGTGATAATTGCCATTGTTCCTCCTCAGTGGTTCGTTCCTTTCTTGCAGCATGCTTCTTCTGATAAGCATTTAGAAAACCGGTACCCAAAACTCAACATTAGAAGCTAAGGGATGGTAGTAGGAAGACAGCTTACGCTTTTTTCTTTTTCACCCACTTTTGCTTACCTTCTGAACATCAAACTTAAGTGAAAATACACCCCCTGAGGACTTTTTTGAATCTGACCCCGCCAATAATCTCATATTATTGACTGCATTCATATCATCAGGTGATAGACGTGCTAACTGCAAAATAATGAGTTAATGACAACCATCACCCATATTTACACAGAAAAGAAACAGAAAAAAAAAAAAATGTAAGACAAGTCAGTACTAACAGCCATATTAGACTGCTAAGACAGCACAGAAAGAGTCAATACATGCTGAAAGTAATGCGGGAAAAGGGCCCATATCAGCAAGCTCAACACACAAGTAGTAGTTGAAAGTTTGGGAACAGCCCAAGATCATACGCCATAAAGTCACCAATCAAAACAAAGAAGTCACCTGCATCAGCTTGACACCTTTGTCAGCTTCAAATTTCTCAGGATAAACTGAAGCATAAATCATCATCAGACGCAACTTAGTTTCAGGAGAGGCGTCCTACATTGCAAGGGAAATTATCCATCAAAAACACTGTTAGCATCATATACAACAAAGACTGCACCGTAGAAGCAGTGGGACGAACATAAAAACCTAAAACCTTCCTAAGCAACCTGTTTCAGCCTCAAAAAGTTGATCACTTCTTTTGTCCCAGCATCCCCAAAGACAAGATCCTGCTCCAAGTGGCCAACTTCCTGAAGCCCCAATTCCTTGATCTTCTCATTGAGTTTTTGAGCAATCTGCATCGAGGATAATACTTTTATGATCAAGTACGAAGTATAAGCAATGACTATACTTGGTGTGAGTTCCACAAAGTGACTTGGGTCTAAACACTTGCTAAGTCATCATCACCATCATCAAAGCCTTTTCTCAACTAATTGGGGTTGGCTACACGAATCCGGGTCCACCATTATGCTCTATTAAGGGTCATACCCTCAAACACTTGCTAAGTATCAGGTCATAACCTGCTCTTACCAAGCAACAAGAGAAGTAGTTCCCTTTCAAAAAAAAAGACATCATTTTCGATGTTCTCGACCAGCTATATTCTACAACTCAAACCTTGGATGTAAGGGCCCAACTAATAGTAGCTCCCATAATCACAAAGCTCGAAGGTAGCTAAAAGGAAACTCCCAATGAATACATAGGCTTGCTTTCTCCAAAAAAAACTAAAAATGCCAAAAGTCTACGTATTCAAAGCCTCATCAGCCTGCATAGGGCCAGTAGATATCTAAACAGAAACGACCCACCTTAGTGTCCACGATGGGTGAAATTAAACTTATGCTATATGAATCAAAGGTGCAAAGGAAGTTTCTGCTTTCCAATACTTAATTTTACAATTTTATCAGATGTCCCCGAAGAGACTTCTTTTTTTTCTAGCATTTTTTGGGCCCCGTATGGGGTGTTTGAATCTGAGTACCCAGAATGTGGGTGGCTCAATCTCTTGTAAAGCTCCTTTCTTAATACAACAGGTAACATTTTTAACAAAAAAAAAAAAAAATATATATATATATATATATATATCATGTGCTTTTATGGAAAAACTGAGGAGGTTATGCCAATATAATGGTGGCACAATCCAAATAGTCAAGGCGGTTATGTGAAAATGCCCAGAGCATGAGCATTGCACAGATCTTAACAATGCATGGTCAACTATGCAAGCTGGATAAAACCAGACCGGTAGAAACGGAAAAAACTACCAGTCAAAACTTGTCAAAACAGGTCGAACCATTCAAAGAGAAATTGAACAGGCCAATCAGACCAATCCGTCATTTTTTTCAATCTTTTAGTACTTCTATTAGACAGGTGAAACTGGTTGGACTGGTTTGGACTAGAAAGACAATCATTAGCTACAATGCCGACAACATCAGTTTAAGAAAATTTAAAAGAAAAAAAATAAATAAGACTCATGCTTGGTTCATCTGGATACACACATGATAGATGATGACCATCTAGCAAAAACTTTAAAATAGAGAAATCCTTGATAAACGTCACATAAAGTATCTTCCAGGTCAGTGTTAAATACCACAAAGAAAAGTTCCAAAACTACTTTAACAGAATGTACTAAATAAATTAAACAGCTATTCAAAACAAATTAATCTACAATTTGGAGCAAGTAAAAATGTAAAGGCACCAAACAAAGAACTCACATCAACATGAAGGGTAAGCTTGTCCATTTGCTCACTATATTGGGGCAAAGCTTGAACCATCTTTTGTAGATCTCTTGTTGATAATTCACTTCCATCTCTGAATTGAAAATAGAAAAGATGTGCAAGAAGCATCTTACAAAACATCTCAACAACATTATACCATTTGGCAGACTTATGTCATGACTGATTATGATGCCAACTAAATATCAACATTCACGAATTTTATACAAAAATTTTATAAAAGTTATGACTTTCAAAGAGAAAACAAGAGTACAAGAAGCATAAAATCTCCTTCAGAAAGAAAGCTGAACAAGGTCCTCATTCACTAACATATTTCAGGAGAACAATGGAAAAGAACCATGGTGGGCATAAGAATTTTATTATTCAGATATTCAGAATAAACTAGCTTGTAGTTACTCTTTTATCCATGTTAAGAAAGAATAAGCATGGAAGCCGTATGTTCAATGAATAAAGGAAAATAAAATCAAATAAGAAAGATGACCATCACATAATAAACATTGCATGTAACAAGATAATATTTACGACACCTTCAATATCTCTGAAGACAGTTCCAGTACTGTCTTCATTCACTTTTCCGAATCATTGTGGGCTACCTTTGCCATCTATAATCTTTCCAGTACAAAGTTTTTGATGCCTATATACAATAAGTAGGTTGAGAAAAGAGGAAAGACACTAATCTATCCATGCTACTGATTTCTTTTAATTGTTCCATGCTATTGAATTCTCATAATTCATGTAGGATTGCTGTAGAATTGGGATAAAAATGCAAGAATATGAAAAACCCACTTTCTGGGGAATTTGATTATCTTTTCCTATAACAAATGGCATGCTTTAAAACATTTGCAGGAGATGACATTTTTACGAGAGGATATTTGATATGATTGATTGGAAAAGAGAAAATAAAAGAAACATTTTGAGAACAGAAATTTGAGCAATTATGATATATTGCAGCACAAGTGCAAATGTTCCAGGAAAAATGAAAATAACTTTCAGTTATGTAAATACAAATAGTTCATTCCTTACAAACCTCGAGCCTTGACGGATTTGTGCAGCTTTGTTCTTTGAAACAAAGTTAGACATCTTCTCATGCAGCCGTAAACTAGCCTGACAACCCAGACAAAAGTCAAAGATGTATTGATAACATCAAATATGCAGCATTTAAACTCTATATCTGGTTCAGATAACTTACATCAGCAAAATGCAAGTCACGGAGTTCAAGCCATATAGGATCATGATCCTCCAAAAGGACCTCTTTTTTCTCCTTTTTTTCTTGTTGTGTTGTAACCTAATGATGAATCTCACGTGTACATTACCAAGGAAGTCCACAAAGAATAACCTTACCAGAAACCACTACTCACATACTCAAGAGAAATTCAAGCATACCTCGTATACATATTTATTTCCTTCCATGTTTAGAAGATCATGGCACATGGCGTCATATGTCCATTCATGTATAACAGGAGCAATCTACAAGTCCCACATCAACATGATACATTTCAAATTCCATAGAGGATTTACGTGAGTACCAAAGTTGGTAAATCATAGCTATTAAAGCTCCAGTGATGAAAGTAAGCATCTTAACCTGGTCTATAGATCTGTCTACAATGAGCAACTCGCAGGTTTCAGTCTGGGGAAAATTTGGAATTGTGGATTTATACTTGGTAATGCAGTTCCAGAGTGCAGCAGCCAACTTTGTCGGAACTAAATCACGAACTGTTGTCAGTGTGGATGCATCAAGAGATGACTTAGCAGCACGGAAGCGCACAAGTGGAAGTTCCTGTATAATAGATGGTTAAACTATCCACAATAAGGAGGAAGCACAAAATGCACAAAAATTATCTTGGCATCATAATAGCTTTTATCAAGTTTAACAAAAACATTAGGTGGCCCCTAGTCTCCCTGTCTGGGCACGGATGCCTAGGGGGCTGCCCAGAACCTCATGTACATATATGTGTCATCCAAACGCACATATATGTAGTTATTTGTGTCAATTTTGTATCTTTTTTCCATTTACAAGCATTCTAGCTAACCTTTTTATGCAAATAGATATGCACAAATGTTCAACACATTCAAAGCGTCAAATCCTTGAGAATTTTGATTGTTTGAATAACTGAAATAGTGAAAAACATAAACAAGCCCCTAGTGTATGTGTCCTTACTCCATACTGGCATAGTTCATACTTATGGTTCATACAATCATCATACACAGACTCCAAATCTCTAATGAGACCAATACAAAATGACGCACTAGAAAAGATAAGATGCAATACAAAACACAAGAAAGAGATCTTTGATTCTTCCAATCAACACTTTAATCATCATCTTCATTCACTTTTTAGATTTCAGGATTGAGATTTTTAACTTTGGGACTAGGGGGTTTAGCATACCCCCAAAACACCGTTTTCCAGTTTCAAAAAAAAAAAAGACGTTTTCCCCTTTTTCCATGGTTAGAAAAGACCCAAAATTTCCTCACAGGCAAATTTATTGCCACCACAAAAGGCTCAGGTCCTAGGCGTCCGCCCAGGGCTGAGCGTTGGGCACCCAACAGCCTGGGCAGGCACCCAGGAAGTGGCATCCAAACACCCCCGCCAAAGCCTAGGCAGTGACACCTAAGGCCCTTTGGGTGCCTAGGCGCCCGCCAGGTGCTGTCTTGTAACTATGGCTTATTAATGATGACAATAAAAGCATTATATTCTCTAATATAATTAGAGAAACTGAAAAGTGCAAATGAGTCCGCAGTTTACAAGAATAACAGACTTACATGAATATGTCCACCATTATTATTGATTATCAGGAGCATCTATAGTTTGAACCTAATTCAGAGTGTATGAAATTTAAGAATTTAATGCTATCTGAAGCCGGCAGCAATCACATCTAGCAACATTGTGTATTCTGAACCTTAAAAATGTGCGTCTTCTGCCCACATTCCTTATATAATAGGACAAACATAATTATCAAATCTGTAATGATGGAAACTATCATATATTCAATAAAATCATCATTGGCAATAACACCATTATGCAGTATATTTAAATAAGCAAGACAATGGCACGATATCACTGTCAGCTTCTCCAGCTGACATTCATCTTGAAGAACTGATTCACAATTATAATAATCATGGACCAAAAGGTAAAAGTGAGAGCAATGCACCACAGAGGTCAAAAAACAGAGTAATAGAAACGAAGCAAAGAGCAGAAAATCAAGCCAAAGGAAATACATATCGAAATGTATTCACCCAAAAAAGAAAGAAAAAAAAAAAAACAAAATGTCAAATGCTACCAACTTAATGTGAAGAAGATTGCATACCCTCATGGAAGCAAATACAGTAGCAAGGCGGACAGCCATCGAGTTTAAACAGGCATCGTATTTACGAGAACTCTCCACATTTTCCCCATATAGTTCCTCAAGTGCCCTCTCATGATCAGTGGTAAAACCCTGTAAAACAATAACTAAATAAGATAAATGTTGGGCAAAGAAGAACAGTGCTACTAACATTCCATTAACACAGCCACCAACAGTGACAAATGGATATCCATCCACTTGTGTTCTCTAGAAGAAATAGCTATCATAACCAAATTCAAGGTACCAAACTACAATTCTCCCTGAATTTACTGAGGCCACAAGCAGCATAACAGGTCAACAAAGAAAAGAGAAATAAAGGAAAGCATAAGTGATTACCTGGCCATCGATGGCAAAATACTCCAAATTCATCTGCATGTCATCCAAACAAAAGAAACCTTTTATTAGAATTTTAAATTGTATGATTTAAAGAGAAAATGATGGATTCACTAACCGTAAGAATCTAAAGCGAATGTACATTTTGGAAGGCTACACCAGTTATTTTTAAGATTATTAACTTTTTTGCATTTCATTAATTCTACAAAGTTATACAACATTGATTACTGTGTCAACAATGGGATATAGAAAATTAAAAAATTTGACAGTATGAACAGGACTGCATAAAAAAAAGTTATACAACATTGAATACTGGTGTCAACAATGGGATATAGAGAATTAAAAATTTTGACAGTATGACTGCATAAAAAATGTTTGCCGAAGTGTTTAAAAAGTAAGGGCTGAAGAGGATTCTAATGCCAACCGAATGATTGTGAGTAAGCCTTTTTGAGATCCCTCTTTAGCCAAGGCATCAGCCAATTAGTTTCATTCTTGACAAACATGTTTGAAAGTAGAAAACTGAGGAATTCACTCTAGAGTCTTCTTTTTCAATAATAGTTGGGTCCCAAAGGACCCAAACACCCCTAATGAACCTTGAGCAAGGAACACAACATTTCTTTCATTTATTCTCGTGTAGGGTTGCCTAATTTTGTTTATGAGATGGATAGGATGGTTGGGTTTCTAATTGGAACCAAATCAAACACAGAAAGATTTTTTCTAATGTTGCTGAGATCCCTGATGTTCCAAGAGAAAATTTCCATTGTTTCTTATTTCGTAGTGATAACAGTAGTGATTGTCCTGAACCTGAGCAGTGGCATCGTTTTCTAATAGTTGATTCCCATTAAGGCTTTTCTAACTCTCTACTCTACTTTGGTGCATTCCTCCCGAAGGTATCTGGAAGAACCTCAGTGACCTTCATATATCGGGCCCATAACCTCAACCATGCCTTCAATAAGATCAACTGAATTCAAATTTCCTTCCTCTTCCTCTGGGTCTATTGATAAGTGCAAAGCATCTTCAGATGTTCCCGCAGATCTGCCCATCAATTACTTTTTTCAACCTGTGTGTGGAAGGGGTCATCACTACATGGTACTGTCAGAAGAGGTCTCAATTCACGGTACCCAAGATCTGAGGAGGATGATAGAGTGTCACTCATGTTCTGAGCAGGTGATTTGTTTGAGGCAGAGGATCCTTCTAAAATGTTATTTGCACTAGAAGGGTAGAAATACAGTGCGCAGAGACATCCTTTGCATGCATCAAATTCCATGCCTCCTGTGGCAAATCCACTTAGTTTGGTTTGACGGGGTTTATTAGGCAAGCTGTTGAGGAGTTTGAGAACAAGGTTGACTCTGCTTTTTCTGCTTTCAATTTCCTGAAGTCTACGGTTTCTTTTGGTGGTTCTGGAGTTGGATTTTCTCTTACAGAGGTGGCATAGAGTCAGTAGATGGCAGGGTGGTGGTGCTGGGATATGTGGTTCATTCACAGGCTTGGTCCCAAAATTTTACGAAGGATAGTGATTTTGATTGCAGCAGGTGAGTGCCATGGAAGAAGGTATGGAGTTGAAGGGCTCTGCAGACAACCAAGGTGTGTCAGTGGCAATGTTCAATAAAACAGAGGGGGGGTGCTAGGTGCCCAAGGGTCCTGGCTGCCTAGGCAGTCCTTGCCTAAGTGGAGGGGTTCTGGTCCTCTGGGTAGTTCTAACGGGCAGTTTTTTTAACCCAAGATCTCTTGAAATGAGCCTAAAACCCCTATGAACATCATTTTCTGGGTTTTGTGCATTAAATTGTAGTTTAATTCTTCTATTTGAAATTTATACATAAATTGCATTGAAACTTGAATTTGAAATACCAGTATCACCTAATCAACAAACCTGAAAATAAAACGCAAGATCAAAGTATTAAATGAAGCAGGTCATCTTATATCTCTAGGTATAGTATACTATACAAGAAAATAAATTTCAACTTTCAAATGAAGTAAAGAAACTGCCGACCCCAATTAGTTGGCAAAAGGCTTTGACGATGATGATGAAATGAAGTAAAGAAACTAGAAAAGACCACTTAAAAAATGTGGAACCCAACCATAAATGTGGAACTCAACCATAAAATGAGGAAACCAACCATAAAATGAAATATAAAAAAACACATAAGATTTGGTTCTCCAATCTTAAAAAAAATTTAAATAATATCAATCTAAAAAATTCAATCACATAATATCCCTTAGATTTGGTTTTCTAGTCTACAAAATCACATAATACCAATTTGGTTCTAGATTAATGTCTTTTTCAGTCTTTCCTATGATTGGAAGTCCCATTCTAGAGAAAATTTTAAAATAACCGAAACCAAAACCCACTAGTAAAAATGGGAGAATAATCCAACTGCAAGCATGTAAAAATATCACAAAACAAAAACAAAAAAAAAGAAAGACTAACAAATCGTAACACATTTTACACAAAAACTAACAAACACGAATTCAAATATTGTAATCCACTAACCTTTTCAAAATGAAATTGATATGGGCCCAAATCGGTGAACTTTAGTTGCCAAAAGTTCTCTTTTGCAACCACTCCAAGCTCCAAAGAGTACCAAGAAGTATATCTTTGGATTTTGCAAGAAATCAAAAATGCGGTTTTGATATTGAGAGAAATCTCAAGAAGTTTTGGTGAGTTCTTCTCTCGAAAACACACAAAAGGGGTTTCGAGTGACTAGAATGCCCCCCAAAACCCTTTTCCCTACCCCTAGTCAACTGCCTATTTCCACCCTCGGCCAGCCTACATCAAGGCGCCGGCCTTAAGGCGAGCGCCTAGGAGGCACCTGGTCGGTGCCTAGATGACCCGACCTAGGGAGCCCACCTACTACATGACTAGGCATTTTCATTTCCTGGCAGCGTAAAATTACGAACATTGGGTCATGGTAATTTTGCAAGGATTTACAGTTTTGTTGTGTTAACTGTTTTGGGTAGAATGGATGGGGTTTCGACGCAAAGGTCATTATTGCTAGGTTAGGTGAGCTGAGGTGCATGGCCCTGGTTTTTCCATGTTTCTCTAGAACTTAAATGGATTATCTGGCAACCACTAGATGCCCTGGGCAGTGGCTTGGGGTAAGTGGGAAAAAGAATGACAGGTGATGAACTGTTAGAGAGAGAGGATATCTTGTGTGGGGATGAAATGTAAACCGCCGCTTCAAATAATCGTGGAATGGATGAGAGAACTTGAGGCAGTGGGATACAATAGAGGGGAGAAATTTAAGCTGTTGGTTCCAAGAGATAGGTGGGCTAGGCATTTAATGCTTTGACAGTTGTCTTCTCTTCAGCTAAATCAAGAGATTTGTAGTTAATGAATCAAGTAATATCGATGGGCTCCTTTGGGTTCTAGGATTCATCTACTGTGGGGAAATAATTGAATTTCAATTTTGAATTTCTGTCTTCACTTAAATGCCACCATGTGTCTTCATTTAGCATGTGTGGCTTCCCCCTCAGCTTTCTTCCTCATTCCTTCCTTCTGATGAGAGCCCATTTCTTTTTCGTGCTTCTGTTTCCTTCCTATTTTTTTCAATTTTTTTTGTTTGACATTTCTAAATATTTATCCATCCATCCATCCTCGTCTTGGTTAATATGGGCTGTTTGAAATCTTTCCAAGCTCTGCAGTTGTGTTTTAGGGTGTTGGTTTTGGTATTGGGGCGTAATTTTTGGGAATAAGGAGCCTGGCTAGGTTCTGGAGGTTAATAAAGTTCGGATCCAGAATTAGTTTCAGGTTTCTTGGGTTTTCTCCAACCTTTTGGTTCTGGTTTTCAGTAAGGATGCATAAAGTGAAGCACTCACCCCCCACTGTTGTGTGATGTTTGGGGCTATCACAAAATATGGACGCATTTCTATTTTTATCTGAAAAAATTCTTAAATTCTACCAGATATTGAGCTGCAATCCAACAGTAAAAATCTCCCACAACCATCACCTATTTTTCAAAGAACCTTAAAGTACCAGCCATGTAGGGGGATGCCACTTACAGTGATCCAGGATATTTAAAGTTTGAGAAGTGATTTTGAGAGATTTCGAAATTCGGATGAAATGTGAATAATACTGCAACTCCGAACTCCCATCTCTTGGAGAAGAAAGCTCATTTGGCCTCTCTCTCAGATGGCAAGATGAAGACAACATCTTCATTTTTTATGAACTGACATATGACAGGAATAAGTATTCCAAATCTTGGTGGCCCAACCCTCAATAGTTTCAAGGTTCTTTAATTTGGGCTCGAAATATCCTATAAGAGCTCCTTTAAGCATTTCTGTTCTGTCTTCGACAATTTCATCAATTGTCCAACCATCCAGAGACTTAAGGTTGTAGGCTGTTCTAGTAGGTAATAGGCTTGTAGTTGCTGTGGCTCTTCAGGGCTAGAGTTCCATCTTCTGCCACGCCCATGTTGAAGGACTATTTCTTGAAAAGTGTGCGGGTGGGATCTACCAATGTAACTGCTGGTGATCCAGTTCATGAAGGCCTACTTTCACTTGGATATTTACAGTAGCTGATGGGTATCACAGGGGGCTACTGTAAATGATAGACATCCCCATGGGGGCTTGTACACATCATCAGATCTCATCTAAATCAGACAAGACCTGTGTACTTTTACACCTAAAAATTTTCACACACATGAATGGATTTTCGACACCGTTAACAATAAAGGAAAATATATATAGGATAAAACAAAAAGTAACTAGTAATGCTAACCTCTCGCAATGCACCTATGCGAGGTAAAACACTGGTATCATTCTTTATCATGGCAACTAGATCCTTTGTAATCGGTGAACTGAAAAACACATGTGCCCTGAAACAATAACATCGAATTAAAATGCAGAATCCTAAAGAAAATAAAACACTGAAAACAAACAATTTGCCGAGTCTAAATTGACAAACTGAGAGAATCCAGCAAACATCTTCCACATACTTTTTGTATAAAGGGCACCTCCCTGACATATCTGACAGGAACATGACAACACTGCATGGCATTGAACAAGCATCAGAAATCAAAACTTCACAATTATTACAAGGCTAATCACTTAACAATTGCATATAAAGAAAAAAGGGAGCAAGGAAACTGCATGCTGCATGCATGCAAAAGGTTAAAGAGACAATACGAACAAATCAGAAATATTGCCCACACGGGATTACTAAGACCATCATGTTTCAAAATGGTAACACATTCGGATGAAAATTCTAGAGTACAAGAGTACTTGGAGCAAGAGATAATGACCCACATTCGGATGAAAATTCTAGAGTACAAGAGTACTTGGAGCAAGAGATAATGACCCATCGAAATGACAAGAAGATTAATCATTACACTAATTGGGATAAAAATTAACATACAATCTATTAAATCCTCAAAAGTACAAATAAAATTCAGTATACATCTCCATGTCCTTCTGGTTTCTATGAGGAAAACACAAACTGTCATCTCACTTTGTGTATTCTTCACAAGTATGATCATGAATGGGTCCTACAGGTATGGGTTACTGATTAGCCTCCATGAAATCTTTTCAACACAACACTCCATGTGTTTACAGCAGTTGTAACAGAAGGGTTAAGGCAACCAGGACAGTGAAGCAATATATCCCATCCTCAGTCCATAATACTCCAACCTTTCCCATCAATCTATCCATTCAATATAAACCAACTCCCATATTTGTCCAAGCTTCACTATACATGTTTCTGAATAGTCGTCTCTTCAAGACTGGCTCCCTTAATTTACGAAAGCTCAGAGCTTTCATCCCCGAACAAGTCAGTGATCTCAAACATCAAATACAAGCGATTCAGATGTGTAGTATTAAAAGATGCCCTCCATGACAAAAACAATTACCAAATTCAAATGAATGAAGGAAGAGAAAGCATATGCAATGTGTTCGAAGGTGCCGAATTCAAATGCACAGCTCCGATATTTCAGTTTTAGAACAGCTTTGCATCCGAACAACTTTTATAAACTACGACATTTATGAAAACCATCAAGTTTATCAGCAAGAAGGCCAATAAAATGCAGAAAGAAATTTATATTCAAACATGTAATAGCCAGTATGAATAGCCTAAGCTTGGGCTCGGGACTCAGACCGTGCCCGAGTTGAGTAACACAGGAGAGTCCAACTAGAAAAAAAAGCTCAAAAAATTGGAAACTAAAACATAAGAAATTTGCTTAAAAGTAGTAACAAGAAAATTAAGTTATAAAAAGCACTAAAAGTCTATAAAAGACAAAAAAAATACATAGGAGATTAAATATGGAAAATTTTGATTTATAGCTTGAACAATTCATAAAGATCTAAAAAAGGGAAAAATAGAAAATATGAGTGTATATTAAAATAATTTTAGAAATCATCATAAAACCATAAAAACTATGTAGAAATATATTTATACAACATTTGTAAGGAATATAGTAACCAAAATTATATAGAAATACACCAAAAACTCACCTCAACACCCAGCCGAGTCCAAGTCAACTCAGCCGAGTCTTCAAATACTGGTACTAACCATGAAATAAACAAAAGAAACTGGAATGTACATTTTATCTTCATGAATATTATGTATAAAACTTCCCATTTCAAGGGGAAAATTATTTAACTATCAAAAATATATCTTGCATCCAAATCTCTTAGGGCCTGTTTGTACTCGTTATCACTTTTAATTCACTGTTTCAATAAAATTATTCCTAACAACAAAAGATCTGCTTTTTTTGTAGTGTCCATTATAAAGTTATCTGAGATAAACTTATAGGCAGTTTTATACATAAGTTTATCGTTTTTAAAAGCTGATTTTGCTTTATTTGAAGTGATTTGCTGGAATTCACATGTTTTGGCCAGAAATAGCTAAATATAGTAGCAAACCATTGAAAAAGTCAATTATTTAAAGGATACTATACATAATGCAAAATGCAAACCAAAGAGCTAAAAAATAACATTATCCAGAGTATATAGATTTTAAATAAGATAAAGTAAATTATCCTCCAAACCAGCCCTTAATATCAATAGACGTTACACATTCAACCTCTACATTACAACTCATCTGGTCTATATACCTTAAAGAGCTTTATTTTCTTTCGAAATCTCATTGCCATTCATAACAATGATAAAGTTACAAATGAGAGTCAATCAAGCAAGAGGATAAAATATATAGACTAAGGGAACTAAACGATGCCAAAATAATGTAAAACTTACTCAATTAAGCAGGAAATAAAGAATACCAAAATTAAGTAAAACAGAGTCAAGGAAGAGAAGGTAACAGTGTCAAATATATACTTACTTTTCCTTCAATGGCTGGATAAAATACACAGCATCCATTGAGGGCAGTGGTTGCCTTCTCTTGTACAAGTCCTCCACCACTGCAAAACATTAGGAAGACTAACACACTCACTTTAAACGGGCCTAAAATTGAAAGAAAATTGGAATGATTCATCGAAACAGTTTTGACAGACAAATAAGCACAGCTAATAATCTCCAAGTAGCACGCTTTATTAACAAAGCATATTTCCTCCAGAAAAATATAAGAAGATTTCAGATTACCTCAATGAAAAGAAAGGGACAAACAGTACCCTATGACATGTTACACACATGCACATAGATAGGTTATGAACAAGTGATAAAGGGAAAGAACACACACCACCTAGTCCCTGCCAGAGAAGAGGAGAGAGAGAGAGAGAGATCTGGATCAAGTGTCATTTAAACACCTTAAAATGTGAGCACCTATCAAGGGACACTAAATGTCAGCTCCACTACCAGTGTGAGGCATTATCATAAGATACAAATAATCCCCAGATATCCATTCAGAACCAAAAGTCTATGACTGAAAAACATGACATTTGATTTCAGCTCACTTCTCAAAGCAATGATGGCCAATTTTCCACTGTGAAGCAAAAGTCGATAATGCCCTAAATGCACATCAAGGATCTCAAACAAATTTTACCAAGAGATCAACAATATTCAGAATTTCTCTACACAAATCATTGGAGCATGCTGAGCACAATAAGATATGATTTTAAATTTAACTCTAAATGTTCCAATCAAATGCCATTCAATGAAGGCAAAGTTGGAGTTATTACCAGAGAAGAAATTCACCTAAACAGCCTTGTATAGAACCTAGACTAGAACAACTAGCTGCTTAGGCAGGAGGGAGTTGCTAACCTAAATGTAACTGATCACACTAAGTCATAGGCCTTCTTCCATCCGATCCACATCACTAACTTATCCCAGTTTTCTTTTTCAACCCATGTTACAAATGCTTTTAACAGGTAATAATGTTCCTGCAACTGGGAGAAACAGATGAGAACCTCAAGGTCCGCACCTAATGACTTCTGACAAATTATGCCATCTGATGGCGTTGCCTGACTCTATCCAACATGTATCAATTACCTTCTTCTCGTTTATGCTGTTTCAGAGCAATTTTCATATTAGAATTAAATTTTGTAAAGCAAACCATATATAAGCAAACAATTAATACAAAAGACAAAGTACCCTAGTTTATTAAAGAGTGGCAGCTACCCAAACCAAGCCAGTGCAATCAGGGATTCAACACACCGATATAGATGCATTCCTGACCTCCTATCTTGCTGGCATCCACTTCCCGCAAACAATACAAACAGTGGTGCACTACAAGCATCTTTTAAATTACTAATCAAATATGTCTTCCATGTTCTAAATCATAAAACCCAGCTCACGATCCACTTTGCTCCAAAAAGAATGATTTACATCTTAGACAAACAAACCCAGAGGGGCAGGGCATATTAGTCCAACAGATTAATCACCACTAGTTTGGAGTTCATGGGGAAAGGCAGTATGCAAATAACAAGCTCATAACACATGTTAAATATCATCTTTCTGTTCCATATTGTAGAACAAATGCCTGGTTCAAGATCCACTTTGCTCCAAAGAGAGTGTTATGCAAAACCAGAGCACATTAGTCGATCAGATTACTCAGGAAAAGTTTACAATTCATGGGGAAGGGCGCCATCTAAATAATATAGTCATAACGTTTAAAATGCATGTTGCCCTCCCATCACAATTTCTGAAGCAACACGTTCAGAAAGTAGCCCAGAAAATGAGAAAATGAAGATGGATAGAGGGAAACAAGAACAAGTGGAGATCAAAATTAACAAAAAAAAAAGAGGTAACTGTTAAAGAACGAAATAAAAAACACAAGGACATCCAGAGAAATAGGGGAAAAAGAAAAAGAGGAACACATTTATATGCATTTTTTATTCATTCGATACTTACAAGAAATGCCTTCTTCTGTGATGTCTGCCATTTTGCAAGAGTATGACATAACTTTGACTGTGATCTTATCCATAATGAGTACCTGTAACATATCAATTAATATCAACCAGAATGACAAAGTAGAATCGGATTGAAATACAAATGCAATAGAAATAAAAGTCTATATCAAGGGTTTCCATCCAAATTGTTAACTAACAAATAACTAATAAACAAAAGACAAGTGAATTACAAATAAATTAACTATAATAAACTTGTATATAAAATAATCTTCCATTAAACCCCTAAGAGCATCTGAAATTAAAAAAAAATAACTCCTGCAATCAGCAGCAACAGGGAGCCGCAGGGTTGAATCAAGAAAAAAATATCAAGGAAAATAATAGTGTGGTACCCATCACACGTGCTAAAACACCAAAGTATAATTTCTTTCCTAGTCAAAACATATATACATAAAGAGGAAAACATCTAGGCCAACAAATACAAATGTCCAAAATATTATACCCAAAATAGCTTTCCTTCATCGTGTGTATGACTAGTGTCAACAATGCTAGTTCCCAGTCTTCTGCTTAACAATGCTCCCAATAAATATCCTCATACTCCAATCTGTTAAATATGTTCACAAATGTGATTAGCCTTCTGAACTTACTTCCATCAATGGTCATTTTCTCCAACACCAAGTAATTTCCAGTACTTATACATAAAGTCTTACATTTATGGATGTTCTTATTCCAATGCTTGAATCAACAATATTTCAACTTTACTTTCCTGGATCCATGCCCTAATAGGTATTCTTTAGCCAAGTCCATCCAAACCACTATAATCCCAACTCCCTATACAAATTGCAGAAAGTATAAGCCCACTCTCCACTTCGCCCCCTTGTCTTAATGCCTTCTTAGACCAATCATAATTGCTTTTGATTATAATTCCTTGTTTTCCATTCTTCCTTTGATTTGTCTTCCCACACAAACAAATAGACATACTATACAAAAATGCATTAAGGTTCAAAAAGTTTATGCTAGAAAATGAAAATAAAAAAATAATATTAGTGATTGGTAAACTTGAGATACAGTGCAGTAATAAACAGATAGCCACCATTTAGAAAAAATTCTTTTTTGGCACTGAAACACTTTTCTACTCCCTCCACGAAATCAAAATGAAGGCCATTGTAGTATCAATATTACAACATACAACTATATCCTCCTTTTTAGGTGATTATAAACTATATCCCTAATGAATTCATGATAATTCAAATTGAGTGAATTACACGCAAATTAAAGAGTGTATGTCCGGGTAACTGTACACATGAAACAATCTATAATGAATTCACCCATAAAAATAGAAATGACTAGGATCAGACTTGTAGAGAAAAGTCTTGCATGCTCCAAAATACTAAACATTACAGAAAAAGCAAACAGGATTACCTATAAACAGACAAATCTTGCACCAGATAAAAAAGATGAAATAGACCAACTTTACCTTCCAAGTTGATTTTGAATCCCCTGATTTAGTTGAACGAAGCATTTCATGCAGTAATCCTGAAAGTTCATATGTGCACACTCTTTGTGAGAAAGGGAACCCATAAAACAACCATGCAATATAGAAGAAGTAATTTGCACAAACATCCAGCAGCTAATTAGGTCTACAGCTCATTGTTCTCCATAATTACCCAAATCTCCAAAGACAAAACTAAAGCAGGTAAAAAGTGCATCAGTTCAGATATAATATATTTAAATTAAATATCCTGTGGCCAAATAAATAATATATAAGCCACAAATGATACAGAGAATAGCCTAGAAGTATAATCAATAATATCTAAGTGAAATAAGTTAATTTAACTCAAATCAGGAAAAAAAGAGGAGGAAATTTTCTTTTAAGTGTTCTAATAGATTTTCAATTAAGCCTATTAAAATTGTGACATTGACAAGTTAATAAAATGTCAATATGTTGCAAGCCTTTGCAAATTCACCTTTGTTTCTTTTCTTCTTTTCTTTTAAAATTTTGCATTAATGAGAAGGAATAGATTCCCATTGAATTGTAGACAAAATTTTATAACCATTTAATACAATGGTTGTACGACAGGACCTCTTGCTACCACTCAATCATCATCAGAGCATTTTCCCAATTATTTAGGGTCCGCTATACGAATCCTGGTCCATCATTCCGTTCTATTAAGAACCATACCCTCAGTGAGGCCATAAGTCCTCATATCTTTTTTCACTACTTCCAACCATGTTTTTTTGGGCAGCCTACCCCTTGACCCTTTTGAGCCTTCCACTTGAACCAACTCGCACCTAACAGATATTGTGTTGGACATGTGTTGCACATGGCCAACCCACCTAAATCTACTTTCTTTCATCTTATCGCCTATTGTAGCCACACTTAAGTTCTCCCTAATGTATTCATTTCGAATTTTATCCCTTCTTGTCTGCCACTCATCCATCTTAACATCCTCATCTCAACCACACTCAACCTATAAGTATGTTTTTTTTGACCGCCCAACATTCTGCTCCTTAAAGCAAAGCTGGTCACGCAGCTGTCTATAGAATTTCCCCTTTAGTTTCATTCGTATGCGACAATCACATAATACTCCGGTTGCACATCTCCACGTTGTCCACCCAACTCTAATTCTATTGCGACATTTTCCTCAATCTCTCAATTATCCAAGATTATCGACCCAAGATATCGAGAGTGCATTCTTCTTGCTACCATTCAATACAATTCTATAAAATGGCACTATAGTCCATAATGCCTTTTGAAGTTTATTCAAGATATTGCAAAATATCCAAGCGAATATAATCCTGCAAGATCGCTCCACTTCTTCCATGTTTTGCAAATGAATTTATGAATCAACATAATATATGTGACCATTCACTGATGGCCACAACCTTTACCAATTTCTTATGTGTTTTGCAAACGAATTTATGCATGAACATAAATTTTTTATGAACAAATAACAAATTATTCACAGATGACCAGAACCTGGACCAAAATTGCCACCCTAGGCCTAAACCCATACGGTTTACAAATATAGCAACTGAACATGGAATATTGCCCTAAACCACAAAAACAACATGACCAACTAAAATGGCCAAACGTGAGAATAATATATCATCAACCGATAAAACTCAACAAAAATTGCATATAACTCAACACAAATTATTTGACTCAGAATCAACAAACCACCAAACCCAATGAATTTTACATGGCGAAGATGCCCTGGACATGAATCATAAAAACAAAATGGGGAACATTTCATTTCTATGAGGAAAGCAATAAGAGATTAAAATAATTAACTGCCACAAACTCAACAAAATTTTGTGCCCTTACACATCCCACCAAATACAACAACTTTCACAGAAATACATACCGCAGAAGAAAATCATACTATCTATTGCTAAAAAGATAGTTAGCAGAAATCTCATCAAATTAGCCCTAATCTTACATTATAACCAGCCTCATTTCCTGAAACAGCACATAAAAATACCATTTCTGGAACAAAAAAATAAAAATGAAATCATCACTCTCTCCCTATCTCTATCTAAAAAAGCGTAACTAGGGTAGGGCTTACTATCTCGACTGATTTGGCGGAAAGATCTGTAATCCCCGCCATGAGAGGAATCGGAGTCCGACATGGTTGCAGAGGTGGTAAGCCCGAGAGGTTACAAACCGTTCCACATAACAAAAGGACGCCAAAGCCTGGTTAATCACGCGGTTTTATCAATGAGGTAGGGCTGCTTTCGCTTTGAGTTTTGACCTGGAAAACCAGGCCCCTCCGTGCTCACTCTCTCTCTGGAAATTTCTCTCTGAATCTCTCTCTCTCTAAGAATTACGAAAACGCAGAATAGCCACCTTTGACGGTTAAAAGCATGGCGTCGAGAAGCCCAAGAACGGGCGTGTTGACCCCTTGTAATTTCTCTCTCTTCGATTTTTCTCTCTCAAACCTTCTTTCTGTTGTTTCTCTCTCCTCACTTCTCTCTCTATCTTTTCCTGCAACGGCACCCGGCCGGAAAATTCGGAGTTATAAATGATGAGACGGACATACGCACATGCACATTGTAAAATGACGTAATAGTTCATGATCGTAAAGCATAGCAAAATAGCGGTCATGGAATTCATTTCTTTATCTTCTTTATTTATTCACTTGCGACCGTACAAATTGATCCTCAAAAAAAATTTTATACCATTTCAACACTCTATAAAAGAGGTTTATTTATTCATTTTTATGATTAAAAATTAATTATAACAAACTTTTTTTATACCATTTCAACTCAATATAAGAGAGAGATAGGTAGCTCTCAACGAGCGGTTGGAAAGACTAAAAAAATATATAATAAATAAATATTTTTGAAACTTTTTTTAGTTAAAAAAAATATAATAGGGTAGGAGATATAATGGAGTGGATTAAAAACGTTTTTAGGTTAAAAATGTTTTTGAAATGGTTTTTGGTTGAAATGGTATAAAAATATTTGTTGGAGTTAATTTTTATGGTCAAAAGTGAATAAATGAAGGAGATGAGTGATGAGAAAGCACAGTGAAATCCTTAGGGATTTTTTTATGCCGTTTGAAAAAAAAAAAATGAAAGGAAGATCTACGATGAAATAAGATAGAGAGAATTAGGGTTATGTAATAATTTTTTCCAAAAATATAGTGTGCAAACCAGATTTAGACCCAACCCAAAAATTAAAATATATATGTATATAACTCTAGTTAAATTGTTAAACATATTTCATAAATTGGGACCCAAAAAACTTTACCGGGCCAGGACCCGGATTTGTCCAATTGTTAGTTCCATACCAAAACCCAGATCTAATATACCTCTCGGATCTCGGTTCAGGTCCATGCCTATTGCCACCCTATAAAAATGAGCGCAATGAAGTGTTTGTTGAAAAATTCACATCACCCTAACTGTCAGATGCGAGCAATGAACAGTTGGCGTTTACCACTAAAAATGGGAGTAATCGGGGAATTATCTAAACTAGGGATGGTTGTCTTCTCCATTTTTTAGATTTTCATAAAATAATTTCTATGATTGTGAAAGTGGATGGACAACACAAGCACCAGCTAAGGTCGAGGTTTGCATAAGGTGTCAACCTTATATTATTGAAACAAATGACAACTCAAAACAATGCTAAAAGATAGTTTTGGTGTCGAAAAGCTTTGATGTGACATAAATATATGTTGTTATTCTTATTTAAAGCTTCACAAATCAAACAAATCTATATACAATTCAATTTTTTGAAAATAGACGATCCACATAATGTATTACGAGCATTGTTTTATTACTTTAAATATTTTTATTTTTATTCATATGCATGTGTGTAATTTTAACGTTTGAACAACCTTTCCTAATATTTTTTTGAGGTGCAAGATAACATTGAAAAAAAAAATGCATATAAATATATGTAAATTACATTATTATTTTGTGTATTGGAGATTTTACCCTAGAAAACTACCTCTTAGACTTTACCTTATCAGCACATTTGAGCTGATAATGTTGGGTAAAATCTCCAACAATTCAGTCCTTAACTCCTAAGCAAATTATCGGCACCTTTGAGCTTTAAGTTAAGGGTAGATTAAGTACTTAACCCCTAAGGATTAGACGATTTTGAATATATTTAAAACTTAAATATTTTTCTTGGTTATTAAAATGAGGACGGCAGAAAGAAATTTAGCCTCATTATTAATAATCATGTAGACTGTTAGGTTTTCATAAGGTTGCAACCTTAAACAATCCAATTGAGGTGCGCCTTCAAATTTTATCATAACATATAATTTTGATGTAAAATATTTTTAGGATTATCTCAAAATCTATTATTATATCTAATTATAAATTTTTAAACTCTAAAAATAGTTAAAATCAAGTAGATCTACAAACATATAAAAATATTAAAAATGGACGGTCTAGATAACATGTTGTAAGATGCACCATTTCTAAGATTCAAAATCCATTTATTTTTCACAATCATATATCTCAATGTCGAGATGATAAATCAGAGGGTTTTTCAACATTAAAACAACATTTTATGATGGATTTTTGAGGTGCATCCGTAGTTCTACATTTTAAGGTTGCAACCTTGTATAAACTTTTTCCTATTAATAAAGGCAACAAGAGTGTCCACCTATGTTGTATAGGCATTGATGGGTGTATTTAAGAAGAATTGGGTTTGCTAAGTGTCCTAAAAAAATGCTTTATCATTTATATGTTGACACGCACAAGAAGGAACATGCATTTTAGGTTACATAGGTATCATTTTCGTCCTTTTTCGTTAGAAAAATGTTAATTAAGGAATTGAAAACTTTTACAAAATCACCAAATGGGTCGAACGATCACAATTTAAGCTTTTAGGGTTTGTTCTTATATTGATATTCCAATCAGGTTTGCCCTCAACAAAAAAAAAATCCCAAATTATCCAACTTTAAAAGTTTTAAAGCTGGGAAGCCTCAACAATTAGAGGCATTTTGATAATTTTGCTTTAAAGAGGCCCTAACATAATGATAAACAAATACACTGTTTGTTCGAGATTATAAATAATGAACAACTTGTTGAGGGTTTAAAATGATAAATGATACAAGATTTACGTTACTTGAGCACCCAATGCTTTTCTGTATCAAATACCATTTATATCCCTTATTGTTCACCATTTCAAATCCAGAACAAGGATAATTTGAGAGAGACATAATTAATTGAAAGAGAAAAAAATATAACCCTTCAATAATTTTGTAAAAAGTTTCAATGACTTAATTTATATTTGAATGAAGTTTCTATAGGGCCTAAGTTTTATGAAAACAAAATAAAGCCTCACCTCAAATTTTGAAGGTGAAATTGATGGTTTACATGATTTGTTGCAATATACATTATCTTTGAAACTTGAAATCCTAATTTGTTTTTCACACCCATATTTATGATCTATTTAAAGGCTTTTCATCACCAATTTTGTTATGAGTTATGAGGTGAGGCTTGACTTATTTTGATATGTTTTCTTTTAATCGAGGTAATCACGTAATTATTGACCGAATCATTAGCATTACCTCAATATTCAAGGCCTCAAATATTGAAACGATAGTTTACAATTTTGGTCAAAAGCTTGGTTAACAACCATAAATTTTTTATGATTGTTTATTTATTTTTTAGTATCATTTTGACGACCATTTAAGATGAAATTTCAATGCAATTTACAAAAAAAAAAAAAGGTTTACATGACTACCAATTCAACATGAAATTTATGGAGAACTCTAGGTCCACAAAAGAGATTATCAAAGACCCATTTGGCATCCGACAGTGTGGACTACTGACTGAAACAACTTTTGCTTGTCATTAATGATGCATAGAGTATTATAAATGTATCGTACGCGTAGGGGTGGCAATGGAAATGGATTCGGACTCGGACCTAGACCTAGACCCGGGCCGGGGCCCGATATTGGACTCCAACTAGGTACGGGTATGGGTCAAAAAATTAGACCCGGTCGGTTGGGTATGGGTCCGGGTCCAAATATTGGACCTGAAAATTATTCGGGTCTGGGTCGATGTGGACCTGACCTAGTTGTTACCCAAATAGAGTTATTATTTAATAATACTGAATATATAATATTTAAATAAATATAACTATATAGTTTTAGTTATAATGTTTAAAGAGAAAAGTTTATATAAAGCCAAGGCTCTAAACAATCAAATTTGAGCTTACCTCAAAACTTTTACTAGAATAAGTTTTTTTGATGCCCAAATATCATCAAATTGATCATGCATAGACATGAAAAAAAATAGATTTCAAGTTTTGAAAATAGTGTATATTGTAACGCATTTTTGGACTGTCAATTTTTTAGATTTACAAGTTTTCAAGATCTATCAATCTATACTATTTTTAAAGCTTCAAACTTTATAAATAAAAATGAAAATATATTTTAAGGCTATCACAAAGGTAATCAGTATTGAAACCACATTCATGGACACTATTTTAAGGTAGGCTCTAATTTGATTGTTTAGAGCCCAAGCTCAGTACAAACCGCACCCATATTTAAATAATACATGTATATATTTTAAAAAACACTTAAGTATATTTTTTATTTATTTTTAATTGGATCTAGTCAGGTCCAAGTCTGGGTCTGGGTCCAGGTCCAATAACTTCAAGTCATGCACCGACCCGGCCCATTACCACCCCCTACATACACGCGTAATATAAAGTACCAAGTTAGTAAGGCTTTTTTGGATAATTCAATGGGGGAGATGAGTTTTGAAAGGATTTGAATGCGTTAGGTGAAAATAGAAGCCTAGATTTTAGCTGGGTGGTGATACTACCATCTCGACCCCAAGCCCATTCTATTATATGCTACCTTAGGAGCATATTATTCACCGAGAGAAAGAGCCTCATCTAGGAATATTTTAGGGCCTAAATTTTGGGGATGCAATATCTTCAACCTAGACACTATCCTTAAAAATAAATAAATAAATAAAAACACTTACTCCATATGTGCCTTAAAGAACTCAAAAGCCAAATTTATTTTAAATACTTCTTTCGTGATTCAACAGTAGTTCTCAATTTTATAGAATCAAAATTCTCACCTAGTAATTATTTTGCAATGGGAGCAATTGTACAGCGTGCCCCCATGGGAGTACATTGTACATGCTCATTTGAAATGCCCTTTATTATTGTGAGAATTATCTATGATATATTAAGAGTGGTAAGCTGGGTTGTCAATGAGAACCTGCACCACGCCTCTCCTACCTCCATAACAAAAGAAGACAATAATTCGAAGAGCGGCATCTTTCACTTTTGATCGTTTATTGCAAAAAAAACAGATGCGTTAATTCGAAAAGCTGCATCTTTTACTTCTAAGCGCTTCACTTCTTGCAAGAAAATGGATGCGTTAATACCGATCTTTGCTTCTTGATTTTGAAAAAAAAAATGCGTTAATTCGAAAAGCTGCATCTTTTACTTCTAAGCGCTTCGCTTCTTGCAAGAAAACGGATGCGTTAATACTGATCTTCGCTTCTTGATTTTGTAAAAACAGATGCGTTAATTCGAAAAGCTGCATCTTTTACTTCTAAGCGCTTCGCTTCTTGCAAGAAAACGGATGCGTTAATACTGATCCTTGCTTCTTGATTTTGAGCTGTAGTAATTTGCTGGGCGCAGTAAGTGTAAAGAAAAATAGGTATAAAATAGTTGCTGGGCGCACTAACTGTAAGGAAAACTACGTATAAAATAGTTAATGTCGGTCTTGTGAACCTTATGCTCTACCACGGGTAACGACGCTTCTCCATCACTTGCTCGTTGCTCACGGGGACGATTCTCCTCCATGAAATAAACGCCTCTCGAGTGAGCAAAAAGACATTTCTACCCATATCTTTGTTTCTTATGACAGTCACGTTTGCCGGACAAGGAAAAACAGTACTGCGTGAAGAAGGGTAACGTTGGCATTTTTTTAAAATAAAGTAACCCTTTTATCTTCTCACTTTTCGCTCTTTCCCGCGCGTTCAGTGCGTATAAAAGCCGTTAAAAATTTGGCGGTATTTATGGTAAATTTCAGCTTTCTTCGCGAGATTCGGGGTCGAAATTTGGCCGAAAAATTGCGAGTTTTCGTTCAGAACTGGAAGCTTTCTCTGCAAATTTGGCTCGCCATGGCGATTCAGTTCAAATTTGTGGTGTTTATCCCCATTCCGTGAATTTATCAGTTTATGTATTTATGCCGGATATCGCCATTAAACTTGTGTTATTCTAGGGTTTTGGGATTGTTCATCCAAGCTTCATCGCTAAAGGTTCCGTTAATCAGCTCATTTTGTACCAGTAGATTGAGCTCCAGTTCTTCAATGGAGCCTGCTAAAAAATCCATGAAAAAAAGGTCAGAAGAAGGGGCCCCCTCAAGTAATGGTAGATTGTTGAAGAAACTGAAAAATAAGAGTGGAATAGGAATGGAATCGGAACCTGAAGATGAAGAAACTGGGGTTAAGGTTCAATCAGGGAGAGTTAGAGTGCTTAAAGCTGGAGAAACTGGGGGTAATGGGCCTGTTGTTTACTGGATGTTCAGAGATCAGAGATGTAACGATAATTGGGCTTTGGTTTATGCTTTGGAGCAAGGAGCTAGATTGAATGTTCCAGTGGTTGTGGCGTTTAATTTGTTTGATCAGTTTTTGGGGGCAAAAGCCAGGCAGTTAGGGTTTATGCTCAGGGGTTTAAGAGATCTTGAGCAGAGCCTGAAGGTTTTAGGCGTTCCATTTTTTCTATTTCGGGTAAGTTTTTCCTTTGTAGATTCTTGTTGGTTTCTGTTTTTGTTACTCTCGTTGCTTTTTGTGAGGATTTCCAAGACCTCTTTCTCTCTCTCTGTTTAATTGTTGGGGCTGGAGTCTCCATCAAATAGTTCATGGGTTAATTAATGCCTCAGACCAATTTGTTTGCCAATTTCAGGGAGAAGCTGATGAAAATATCCCTAAATTCACGAGCCAATGCAATGCATCCCTTCTTGTCACAGATTTCTCGCCCTTACGGATCATTCAAAATATAAAAGAGAATATATGCCATAGGGTAACCGAAGAAATTCCAGTTCATGAAGTGGATGCTCATAACATAGTACCAGTGTGGGTGGCCTCTGATAAATTGGAGTATGGTGCAAGGACTATAAGAACCAAGATCAACAAGCTTCTACCAGAGTACCTCACTGAATTCCCTGATTTGAAAGCCCCCCAAATTAGATGGAAGGATGAATCTCCTGTTGAAATAGATTGGGAGAACCTCATCGCTGAAGTTCTGAGGTATTATTACATGTTATCATTAATTTGAATTTCAAATATTTCTGCATGTTTTTTTAGGCAACTCAAACAATTCCACATCATCTGGCTCAAATTGTTACAGTATACGAATGTTAATCTATTCCACTCTTTGTTGCTAAATTTGTTATAAAGAAAATATATGCTGTAGTCGGACAGACCGTGGAGATGGTGGCTCTCGGTATCTTCCATCGCCATCCACTATTTGAGTTGAAAATCATGACCCCTATTGGCTATAATTCCATAGTTCGTCTGGTTACATTGTTTTACTTACATTTAATAGTCGACTTGATAGTTAGCAACTTCGAATAACCGATCCGATAGAAAATATAACGAGAGGATCTTAGAATAACTGGTCTTATATTAACAGGAAAGGTGGTGCGGTTCCTGAAGTACACTGGATTGAACCTGGTGAACAAGCAGCATTGGATATGCTTATGGGTAGCAAAAATGGCTTCCTTTCGACAAGATTGAAAAATTATTCAACCGATCGAAACAACCCATCAAGACCTAAGGGCCTTTCGTGCCTTTCTCCTTACTTGCATTTTGGTCAAATCTCTTCACAGCGCTGCGCTTTGGAGGCTCGTAAATTTCGAAAATTATATTCCCAGGTTAAACCAATTTCTCAGTGTTGTTTGCTTACCCTTTCCAAGCACACTTTACATATTGTTTTGATTCATTATAAACTTATGACTTGTCATATCATGGGTTGATGTTCACTTGATTTAGCTATATTTGTTGATATTCTCGAGCAATGATTATGTTTTGGGTTGACCACTGTCACTGAATCTAATGGATGTTACTTCCAAATGATATGTGCCAAAAGTGAATATAATGGATAATTTGAAAGGAAATATAGGGCTCCCCTTTTTGGAGTCGAAGAGTATTAGTAGTAAGGCATAATGCATGAAATTTTTGAATCGATGTGATTGGGGTCGAACATCCTATGATCGTCGTGTCTTATGATTGAGTATGTGTCAGCATATCTTTTATGAAGCACTAACTCGTTCTAACTCAAGAAGAAACATCGTGTTCCTGTAATTTCTTCGCATTCATTCATAAATTAAAATCCTTAAAATTTTTTGTCATGGATTCTTCTGCTTGTATCATTTATATGTCAAAGTATTTGGTTTTATATCGTGATCTTTGTCATGAGTATCACTCGAAATTCTAGTTCCTGGCTACGAGCTTGGCAAAGTACTAAAATGTATTGAGCAACGACTCTTTGGCTATGAACAACTTGTATTTTGAGAAAACTTTTATGAATGGCTCAAAATATAAGAGACATTATGAAAACGGAAATGACTCCCACACTCTGAATCCTGCCTTGATACCCCCATCTTTGCCTAGAACTTGAAGGACGTCGCTTGCCTATGTAAGCTCAGAAGTTATAACAGTCTCTTCTAAACTATCTGCGATCCTCTATATCCATTAGAATTACTGTTCAACCTAATAACATTATGAGAGTCTTGCTCAACAATTAAGGAACCAGATAAAGATCTTCAATCTGCATTAGAATGTCTTAGCCTCTGCTTCCATGGAGCCCGTTGGTCCAATGAGCCATTACGAGGCCCCTTATTCCCTCCCCTAAGCTACGTGGGAGTTAACCACACTATAGGACCCTGTTGTCAAATGAGCCACCATGAAATTTTAGTGCTGTTATGAGGTCTTGTTAGTCTTACTTGTGCACGTCAATGGAACAGTTCTTAGGACACACGAATGAAAATGCTAGCTCATTACAGGAAACTTCTTGATCACAACTGTGTTATGGTTGGTTTCATGGGATCTTTCCTCCTTTGATCTCTTGTTATGATTCGTATGCATATTGCTAGTGGAAGATGGTTTCTGAATTTTGTCATTTACCTTTGTGAAGTCAGTAGATTCGTTTTTGGAAGAGCTCATTGTACGAAGAGAATTGGCTGACAATTTTTGTTTCTACCAACCAAATTATGATTCATTACAAGGAGCATGGGAATGGGCCAGAAAAACCCTAAGGGATCATGCTGGAGACAAGCGGGAGCATATCTACACGTAAGTGAAAATGCACCTTTTTGGGTACTGACAGATTGAAAAATTCTCAGTTGGGAAATAAATGGAAAGTGAAGTTTACTTTGATTCTCATTTGAAATTTATGGAACCAGCATGCCAGTCTTTAGGACAGTGTTGCAATCCAATGATGACAGAGCCCTGTTATGCTTTTTGCAGGATGGAGCAGTTAGAAAAAGCAAAAACGGCAGATCCTGTTCGTAGTTTCTTCAGTTCAACTCATTTATGTACTATTGCATCCATTGCCAATCATTGATTCTATTACTTATGTTAGTGATTTGGAACTGCCCTTTTTCAGTTATGGAATGCGTCTCAGTTAGAGATGGTTCACTACGGAAAGATGCATGGATTCATGCGGCAAGTAACCTGCTAACAATTTTATTAGTATTTTAAATTATTTCCTGCCTTTTGATGGTGAGTGTTCTATTGCTGATAGTGTCAGGCATTTGCAGGATGTATTGGGCAAAGAAAATACTTGAATGGACAAGTGGACCCGAGGAAGCTCTTTCAATTGCGATACATTTGAATGACAAGGTACCGAAATTCTAAAAGCATGTCTACATAAAGTAGTTAAGTTTTTTTTTTTTGTTTTCTTTTTGAATGGAAATGAGAGATCATCTTAGTTTTATTTTGACAGATATTTGTTTTTTTGCTTTTCCTGTTTTTTTGGAAGAATCGGTTCTTTATATGACAGTAAGACCATTTTACTTTTGGTGCAAGAAGGTCAAATTCACTCTTAGCCTTTAGATGTGAAACTGGGTGGTTGGAGTATCCTATTGACCACGCTCAAAGTTCAAGTAGAATTTTGTCTCACATTGTGACACATAACTAGCCATTTAATTTAACATTTGTCTGCCAGTGGTGATTGTGACCTTGTAACAAAGATAAACGGTGTTAAACCATACAATTCCTATTTATATTACCATTGTTTTCCCAAAATGGGAAAGTATACAATGAGATACCTTGTTACAAAATGGTCAAAATCACCTGCCTCCATGAAATGTGAAATCGGGTGGCTGCAGAAGTACAATTGAGTGTGCTTGAAGTTTGAGAAAAATTACCCCGGACTTTGTGCAAGAAATGGCACACCCTAGCTGTCCCATTTTGCATTTGATGGCTTGAAGTGTTTGCGACTTTTATCTTTTGCACATAATCCCAAACAAAACATTGCCATAATTTTGTCTACCCTAATTATCATTATTTACTGCAGTATGAATTAGATGGTCGAGATCCAAATGGCTATGTTGGCTGTATGTGGTCAATATGCGGTATTCATGACCAGGTCTGCATTCTTGTTCCCCGTACTCGAAAATATTTAATATGTTAAAGCATTATGAAAATCATCTTCTCATTATATAAAATCATAGAAGAACATTCAAAACTTCAGCTTTTGGGTTTTAAGAATCAGCTTTAACGAGCCCATTAAAATCCCATATCATAGCTTTTGACTTCTACTAGAAATCTACTTTAAAAATGCATCTAAAGTGGGATCCGAATCCAAACTTATCCCTTTCAGGTCTCATAGATTCAATATCTAAGAGACTCTAGCATGCAGTGACATTTCAAATTATATGCCATCGACTCTGTTACAACTTAATTCTAAAGAACTATCTGTCATGAAGTTTCGATTTGAAAGAACTTCTATCATGAAGGTGCCATCCATGTTACTTTGTTTGATGATATCAGGGATGGCGAGAAAGATCTGTGTTCGGGAAAATACGTTACATGAATTATGCTGGCTGTAAAAGGAAATTCGACGTTGATGGCTACATAGCTTATGTGAAGAAACTTGCAGCGGAGACAAAGAAAAGGGTTCCAATTAAGGAAATCATGGAACATAACAACTAGAATTCTCGCAACCTCGAAAATAACTGGTTAAGTTATGGACATGCAGCCATTCCTTAGTTTAACCCTCTCAAAAAAAAGGCTTTTTCCTGTGGATTTAACCACGATTAGAACCAGGACTCAAGGCTTTTGTACCAGGACAACCGGGGTTAGAGCTGAGGGCTGAATGGCTCTTATTGTGGGTCAGACACTAGGGCTAAGGTTATTCTCCCAGAGTCGAGGCCAGAGCAGTGCCACCATGCTCGTAACATTCTCTCTCTCTCTGTAATATTATTTGTTTTTCTCTCCTTTTTTGTAGTCTAAAAATAGATATTGTCCAGACTTTAATTGTATTGGATACATGGGCACAAGCATCACGTGAAATGGTCGTTTTTCACAGGTGGTTCATGTATCCTTGTTTTCTACGTATAATAATCCCTCTCTCTTCTTCTACGTATCATAATCTCTCTCTATATACTTGAACAGTTGATGAAGATTTCATTAAAAAAAGACCAATTTTTAAAAAATTTGTTGGTTCACCGGTCGTTTTTTACATACCATCCATGTATCCTTCTCTATTTCTCTCTCTCTCACACACACACAAGTTGAACATTTGATAAAGATTTCATTAAAAAGTACCAATTTCTTTTTTCATTATTTTATACTAGAAAATAACATTTTAATATTTTATGTGTTGACCAGGAGAATCACGAATCTGGTTCACTAAGAAGCTTCTTGTCAATCCGGTTTTAAACACCAGAAAATACGAAAGAAAGGAAGTTCCAAATAATCCGGTTTTTAAAAACCGGAAAATACAAAAGAAAAAGAAGGTCTGAATAATCTGCTTTTTAAACTACCCAGCCCATTAGAGATAAGGTGTGATAGATCTCAAATGCTGGGAAATTCTCTGATAGGCATTTTGAAAATAAATAAATAAATTAGATAGGCACAACATATGGATTGTTCTAGACTTCCAAATCAAGGTTTGGTCTTGGGCCAAGGTACTCAACCCTTGGCCGAGGCAAAGTACTCTGCCCTTGGCCGAGACAGTGGACTTGGCTGAGTTTTTTGTTTCCTAAAGTGTTAAAAAAACTAAAAAGTTTGCTAAAAATAGTTATAAATAAAAAAACTAAAAGAAGTAATAGAAATCATTTGAAACCGAAGAAAATGAAAAAATCTATAAAGGACAGGTGGTTGAAAATTTTGTTTTATACCTTGAATATTTAAAAAACTAAAAAAACAAAAAAAAATAGAAGTTTCGTAATCGTCCTAAAAACTATCAAAATTATCAAAAAAATATATTTCTAAACAATATATTAGTATTTCCCTTTTTTATATATATATATATATTGTACTTTGAGGCTTGCCTAGCCAGTAGCACGAGGCCAAGTTACTCAACCGAGTCCGAATAGATGCGGTCGAGTCTAGTTACTCAACCGAATCCGAATAGATGTGGGCAAGTCCAAAAATATTGGTCGAATCATTTCTTCTCCGAATAGATGCGGCCGAGTCTTGTTACTCAACCAAGTCCAATTAGATGCGGCCAAGTCTAGAAACATTGGTCAAAATCATTTCTTCTCATTTGATGAGTCTCTAACCAGTACCGTAATACAAGCCAATGGACTGATAAAATCTTCCTGAAAACCTTTTAGGAGTAGCATTTCCCTTTCCCACAAACCAGTCTTTCTCTAGAACCTTAAAATTCGATAAGCTTTGACTCTTCTACTTAAATTCTAATATGACATTTTATAAATTTGATATGCTAAACAAATTTCGATATCCACCATTACAGAGCCCTTTGAAAATAGGAGGCCTTTGCCAAATAGAAGGGAAATTAACTTGGCATTCATAATCAGAATTCAGGAACAGAAGCTTTTGTTTAGCAAGATTGCTTACGAAATCTCCAAGAGGTCTAAACAAGGGTTTCTTGGAACCAACAAAGGAAAATCATGAACTCTTTTGAGTAGCATATTTTGATTTTGATCTTTTGGTTGGTTTCAATGGGGAATACAAGCCCCTACGCGTTTTAGATAAAGTTAGTGGTTTTCAAATGGGTCAGTGGGAATGAAAATCTAGATCGGTAGTTAAGACTCGGGTGATGCTGACCTCAACCCCATTTCTGTCTTCTTATACTATAGTCATTATAGTGGCATTTCTCTCCTTGGAATCTGCTCTTCTTTCTCTCTTTTTCTCAATCAGCCGAATTTCCTGTCTGTGTTGTAGTTTCACAAGAATTCATATTTCCTTTTTTGTGTGGAAATCACTTTTTCTTAAACCTCCTATGACTTCACGAGATGCTACAATTCCAATTACATGGCTCCTTTAAATATTTATTTTTGGTACATTTATAGTTATTGTTCTCTTTAATAAGGTGATCTTCCTGTTTGTTTCAAATATTTATTTTTGGTACATTTATAGTTATTGTTCTCTTTAATAAGGTGATCTTGTCGTTTGTTTCAAGGACGCAGTTTCTATAAGGCCTAGGGTTTATGATAAAGGTAAAACCCACCTTAAAACCTCGTTTTGAAAAAGACTTTGAGCATCGGAAATCTCTATGGTAGTTCTAAAATCAATTTCTACCACCAATTATAAAATTTGAAGCTCAAAAAATAGTATGGATTTACAGATTTATGAACACTTGAAAACTAATGGTCTATTTTAGGGCCTGAAATCCTTTTTTTTTTCTTTTTTTTTTTGTACAAATGTATTAGTCAAAGTCGAGATAATAGATTTGAAGGTTTTCCGATGCCAAAGCTACAATTTTCGGTAAGCTTCAAGGTGAGGCTTTATTTTTTCCCATAAGTCCATTTCAATGATGGGTGATATAGCCTTCTCATTATCAATTGAATTAGCCATGCTTTAATTCTTTACCACTGCAAATGCTAAAACCATTGAGAGGTTGGAGATGGATTTATAGTTGATGGGGTTCTCATAAAGTTGGATTTCTTCATAGGTTTTTGATGGGAGTACAATAATTATATGAACTGCACAGTTTGGTCCATGCTTTAGGGGAATCTGCATTTTAGAAGTATTTAGAGAGGGTTAAATTTCAGCTCTGAAAATTTGGAATTCTTCGGAGAAGGAAAGGATTCCTTGTCTGAATCAATAACGTAATCTTTCAAAATACTATTATGAGTTTGATTCACAAAATAGCTGAATAAAGACGCAAAAGAAAATCACAGAAACCCACCTTAGAAGGTCATACATGTAGGACACCCTCCTAAGTTTTTATTCACAGAATGTACTCTATCATTCTCTCTCTCTTGGAATCCACCTCCTACTTGAAAATTTTGATCATGGGACAAAAGTGCTTCCCAAAAATGCCCATGGATGGTCAACTAAGGGGGAAGTTTCTCGTCCATTAGTGGCATAGAGAGAGATAGAGAGCTCTTGAAGGAGAAGACCCAATCGAAGAGATTGTATACTATAAGACTATTATTTTAGAAGTTACAATTATTCTTAATCATTGAATGTGAAAAAAAACTGACAAATTAGTTTAATCTTTACACCCAATCAGTCACATATCTGCCACAAATTTTTCATCTTACAATGAGTAATGATTGTGATCTCTTTGTACAAAAACTAGTGTCTACATTTTCCGAAATGGTTTCCATCATAAATGGTTTCCATTTAGCTAACCAACTTGGGAAAATGAGACAAACTGGGCATCAAAGTGCAAGGCCTCAAACCCAACAATACTTTTCTACTAAGATATTGCCTCGGGGGACCATGGAAGATCAGACTTGGTTGCTTTCAAGTCAGTCAAATTGAAAGTCCAAGCATAAATTGTCCTCTTTAGACAATTTCAAGTACTGCACTTTCAAGTTGGGAATCATGCCAAAGTTTAGCTTTCAAGTCAATCAAGTTGAAAGTCCAAGCATAAATTGTCCCCTTTAGACATTTTTAAGTACTGCACTTTCAAGTTGGGAATCATGCTAAAGTTTTAGCATATTCTCATCGATCTTAGTACTATAAAATTCACCTTGCAAATCAATGTTTTGAAAATCGCTGATCAGACTCAAAATCACCCAAGTTGGATCAGTACCGAGAAGTGGGCAACTCTGGTCTGAGGATGAAATGAGCCAATTGTCCAGTTCTCTAATTCTTTCAAATTCTTTGCGAATTGTGGCCCTATGACTGGGGAATCGTCCGAATTGGACCGGGCAAATAGAAATCAGGTATTTGGTGCCGGTGCCCTATTCTGGCTTTGGAACACTGCTCCGAATCTTATGTATTGTGCATCGCCCTTGACAATCATTACACCCAAAACAACTAAAATTTGGAATGAGTTTCAAGCATTTGATCCCTACAGGAGAAAAGGGATTAGCAGACCACCAAAAGGCATTTGGTAGAATCTTAACATCATCCATCACCGATCCCAGAAATACGCTCAAAACATTTTCTGCTTTACTCAAGCATTGCTGAATGAAACAAAGAGTAAAAGTTAAAAAAATATTTCCTCATCAGACTTTCTACTTTCTTGCTCAAAGCAAAAACATCAGCCATTAAATTAGATAATATCTATAAGTTCCCAGCAACGCAAAAACTTGGGGTGAGGAGGGGGGGAAGGGTTCGTATACGTACAGGAGTGGAGGTACATATCAACCAGAAAATTCACATATATACTATCAGAAGAAAAGACCCATATGATTCACTTGCTAAGAACAAAGAAACAACCCATACAACTCCATACCTCTCATTGACAAAGTTCTCAGTTTGCATTTTCCAAAGAGCTGGAAGCCGCCTCCATCAACCCATTGCGTATCTGGTCACTTATGTCTCTCACATGTCCGGGGCCATGAGGAATGAAAACGGTTGTGTTCTTTGAGGAGTTTCCAAGGTCTCTTATGGTGTCAAAATACTGGGTTATCATGATCAAGTCCATTACGTCCTTTGCTGAGGTCCCTGGAACTCCATGAGAGAAGTCCAATACATTTTCTCTCAAGCCTTCAGTGATGGCCTGCCTTTGACGTGCCACCCCGACCCCTCCTAAAAATTTGGCTTCAGCTTCACCTTCTGCCTTCTTCACCTGAAGCACTTTTTCTGCCTCCCCTTTATACACACTAGCAAGTTGTAGCCTTTGAGCTGCAACATCAGTGCAAGTACGTCACTAGCGTCTTTCATATGAGATTATATTTTTCATGGTGACCTTGGTCAACCAATTGCTTAGTTATTCATAAAAAAGGAAAAGGTTTGAGAAACTTGAATCAAGACATTTGCAGGCTCTTCGGAGCTTATCAACTCAGGTTTTATGATAGGGACCATGGAAGTATGTTAAAACACAGTGCCGAATATTAATCTCGGAGATTTTTTGATGAAATAATTTTGTGATGAAATAATTTTGTAAGTTATTGTTCAAAAGTCATGGATTTCCGAACGACAAACTTCTTAGAGAAAATCATAGAATTAAAATAAGGATAATGAACATTCTAAAAGCACAAAAAATACTCAGAAAGAAAGACCATAGTTTCCCATACAATTCTTTTAAATATAAGTCTATAGAAACACATAATTCTTTTATAGAGAAAATACTGTTCTCCTAAATTGTGTATTCCATTTAATTCATGCATAATGTACATGGCACTCAGCTATATTTTGGAATAAAGAGGCCCAATGAATGCAAGCAATAGCCTGAAAGGATATATTTAGCACGCGCGTGCACACACACACTCAGCGAGAGAGAGAGAGAGTTGGTGCATTTCTCATACCAAATAACAGGTGCATCCAATTAGCAATTATTAATTGCTGAAAGATATAAAAGGAGAACAAGATGCCCACCTGCATTTATCTCATTCATTGCCTTGCGCACTGAAGGGTCAGGTATTATATCAACCATCAATATTTGCTCTATGTTGTACCCATAAGCCCCCATAACCTGTGTCAATGTGAAACATAAAGAAGAACAGAAAATTTAATTCATACACACATGATGTTCCTTTATTGTGCCAATGATTTTGAAGTTTCAGCAAGTCGTCACAAACTACACATTATGACTGGGAGTTGCGCCTGCCAAGGATGAATTCATGGAGACTTTTACAGATCTCTTCTCCCATGCAATGATGTTTTGGGCAATGAAGAAAATTCCTGTGCACTTATCCCCAAGATAAGTGAACAGTCGAATGAAACAAGCCAAATAATCCACTATGATAGAACTAAAATACATTGGTAGGAGTTTAGTTATACGTGAAAACAACAAGCCAAATACTTTGTTGTGATAAACTATAACACATTGGTGGAATTCTTAGCTACCTTTTCAAGTTCCTCCAATACAGCCTTACCAACATCACCTTTCTGCTCAAACAAGTCATCCAGTGTCATTCTTGGTACATGTGCTCGAACCACTGCGAATAAAATGAAAACCACCATGACAAATGTGGCAAATTTGCAGAAATAATGTAAAGCATTTGCATGGAAAGTTACCAAACCATGCATAAAGAAACTTAGAAGAGACTACCATCAAACACATAAGCTTGAATCTGTTCTTGGGGATTTTGAAGCTCATAGAATGCATCATCAGCATTCTGCCGAACTATCCGGTACTGAATTGAACATAGCAGTTGAACAAAAACATTGTCCTGAGCCGCACAAGAGAGAGAATCAGAGACACACTTGATCTACCATAATATCTTCAACTGAATAAAACATTCTAGACTGAAACCCCTCTCTAGAAAAAGAAGACTGATCCATTGAACAGTGATGCATATAATGACTGCATGGTGACCAACATTTGGTCTTAAAACTACAGTCCAGGCAGACAAAAAAAACCAACTGTACATAGTGATAATATAATCGTACATGGTCTTAAAGAAAATATAGGAATGAAGAAAACTTCAAACAAGACCAAAAAAAGTGAACTAGAAGATGACCTCCTAGATCCCGTCTAGGATGGGCCATCAAACAGAGTATATGATTTCTACAGGGTCTCAAGAGTAAAACAGCAAATTGTTGTAGTAGCATCGACCAAGTTGAGTTGGGCCAGCAAATTGTTGTGCAAGGCAATGTAGTGGCATCCACCAAGTTGAGTTGGGCCATCAAACACAGTCTATGATTTCTACAGGGTCTCAAGAGTAAAACAGCAAATTGTGGTAGCATCCACCAAGTTGAGTTAGACATAAACTTCGTACTAAAAAATATTTAAGTAATTAGCAAACCCACAGTCATTTATCATTTTTCTTTGTTTTGTCTTTTCTTTTTTTTTTTATGAATTTTACAATATTTTGGCTTGTAAATGACTCGTCCGATTGGGCTTGTACCATCCACTTGGACTCGGCCCCTACAGTCAATTGCTTGAAACAAACATATAGATCATAATAAATGACAATATACATCGCGATCCAGATCAAAGATCAACCATAATTGTTTTGTAACCCAAGTGGTTGAAACTAAATATAAGAAAGAATAATTGGAACACAACCGAACAGGAAGACATGAAACGACAAATCTTTTACAGACATCATCGTAGATCTTCACACAAAATGCTATAAATCAAAACAGTCACAAGATCGACTAAAATTAGTAATCAATTGCATCTAAAATACCATTATCACAAGTTCATAACAGACCTGAAAAGGAACGAGGCACAAAAATCGCAGAATTAGATGAAACCACACAAAAATCAATGAAAAAGCAAACAAACCTTTGTCTTTGTCTCAACACGAACATCAAGATAACTGAGCCTTGTTGACAATATGCCTGCTATCCATTCCCCAGCAAGTGGATTGATGAGATGGAAGCCAGGCTCTGCAAGTCTCTGAAAACGGCCCCATTTCTCCACAATTCCAATGCTCGCTTGATCGATACAAATACAACCGATTGTATTCCCCATCGTTGGATCCTTCAAAGAACCAGATATCTTGTGTTAAACCGGAGATCTTGTGTTAAACAAAGGTTTTGTGCATCTGGTGTTAAACAAAGGTTTTATGCTTTCTATGAATAATTAGGGTTAAGCCTGCAATTCGTGGACGTTGAATCCGGACTAATAGGACAACCAAGATATTTTGAAGAACTCTCGGTCTCACTTTCTTGAACTTTTGATGAGATTGTATATTTATAACACAAGATATACTTACTGGTTTGATTTAATAATTGTTACAACTACTATTCGAACGAATATTGATCAGAATTAGGGTTTGGGGACTGCAATTCCTGATGGCCCGAACCTGAAGAACACGAAAAACTAAAAATTTCGCGGGATGGGGAATTTTAGGGTTTAAACTTTAAAAGAAGAAAGAAAATTAGAAAAGAAAATGGAAAATAACATTTTATAGACCTTTAAAGGTCTAAGGTTCTTACACGTGTAATCTTACAGCCCGCCTCTTTTTCTACGTAAACTTCATCTCAAGAGATTATTTATTTTAGGGATTGTCTCTTAGATTTAGTTATAAGAGTGTGATACAAAATTCAAAAATAAACATTTGAAGACTTTTGACGTTTATCTCAAGCTATTAATTTGGCATCTAATGAGTGAGAACAGTTGTGTTTTTTTTGTATAAAAAATAAATAGATTTTTTTATAAATAATTATTTATTTTTAATAAAAAAATCATAATCAGTATTGTATGTCAAATTTTAATCAAGTGCTGTGTTATTGACTAGATTGAAAAGAACTCTATCACACACACCAGGTCTTCAACTTGACATTTAAGACCCTGTCAATGGGACTCATAGAGTAACATTTTTATGAAAATAGCCTGGATTGACCGCTTGGCTCCTTTTGAGTATGGAATTTACATTTTTGTGAGAGTCTTGTACCTTCATGTTAAGCCAAATTTCAAGAAATATCAATTTCACCCAAATAGTTGGAATCAACATTTTTTGAAAATCAAAATATGCATAAACCTTAATGATATTATTAATATTACTACTGCTATTGTTATCATTGTTATTATTAATATTATTATTGAAAATATTTAGAGAAATTATTGCAAATATACTTTATTTTAAGGTTAATTGGAAAAAAAAAACCCAAACTTTCATTTATCTCGTCTACACCATTTTTTCTAATTTTTGGCTTTTTTTAACCAAAATGACCTTTTTACTACTGTAATACTTATCATTTTATACGGTATTTAAAATACCGTCAAATAATATTACAATACTTTAAGTACCGTAAAACTCTGGCCATACCGTGAAGCCAGTTACTATACTTAAAATACCGTAAAAACTAAAACCTATTATACGGCATTTTAAGTACTGTAAAAACTAACCCCATCTTATGTACTTAAATTGTCGTAAATTCTTTTCTCATTTTATTTATACTTATTTCTTTCATCTCTAATTATATCTTCTTTATCTCTTACTTTTTTATATTTATCTATCTAATTCTTTTCTCTTCTTCTCTCTTTACAATCTCATCGTCGTTTCTTTAGATAGATCATGTCCTCTGTTTTGCATAGTCAAAGTTAGTGTTTGATTACTCTCTTTAAGGAAATGATGATGATATTGTAGAGAGAGAAATGAGAGATAAAAAAGAAATAGAGAGATAAAGAAGAGATAAATATTAAAAATATTTAGAGAGAGAAATAATAGATAAACATAAAAATAATTAGAGATGAAAGACATAAACATAATGAGAAAAAGGTTTACGACATTTTAAGTACCGTATAACATAGGTTAGTATTTACGGTACTTAAAATGCCGTAAAGGTTAGTGTAAGTTTACGGCATTTAAATTACCGTATAAAATGCCCTCAGTATTATGGTATTAAAAGTACCATATAAAAATCTCTAAGTATTACGGTACTTAAGTACCGTGTAACATGCACTAACTATTACGGCAATACGATCACCGTGAAGGCCATTTTGGTAAAAATAAAAAATAAAAACGGTGCAGAAGAGATAAACAAAAGTTTGAGGTTTTTTTCTAATTAAGGTATATTTACGATAATTTTTCAAATATTTACTATTGAAATAATTATCATTTAATAATTTTTGTTTCTAATATTATATTATTATTTTAATTTATTAATATTGAGATTGTATACCATTTATCGTTTGTACATAAAAGTCACAATCATTCTTGTCCCTTGTAAATATTTTCTAAGATATTCCTACAACATGCACAATACTATAGATTTTTAGATATGGGAAAAGCTTATATAAGGTTGCAACCTTAAAATGTAGAATCACGGATGCACCTCAAAAATCTATCGGAAATACTATTTTAATGTTGAAAAATAGTCTAATTGATAATCTCGACATCAAGATGTTTGAATATTAAAAAAAAAAAAACGTTTTTGAATCCCAAAAATAGTACATCTTGCAACACATTATGTAGACCGTCAATTTTCAAGATTTTCATATGTTTATAGATCTATTTGATTTTAACCATTTTTGGAGTTTAATATTTTCTAATTAGATATGAAAATATTTTTTAAGATTATCATAAAAACAAAAAATTACAACAAAATTACATGTTATGATAAAATTTGGAGGTGCACCTTAATTTGATTGTTTACGATTGCAATCTTATAGAAACCACACCCTTTAAATATTATAATTTCAAAAATATTCCTTTACGCTTTCATGTATTTCAAATATGAACTTTAATATTTTATCATTGATAATCAGGCTTATTTCTCAATTCCAAAGTTTATAACCTGAATCCAAAGACGGAAGGTATACTTATTATGAATAAAGGGAAAAGTTCATACAATGTTGCAACCTTAAAATGTAGAATCACATATACACCTAAAAAATCCATCTATTTTAATGTTGAATAGACTATCTAATCGATCATCTCGATATATTGAGATGTATGAATATGAAAGAAAAAAGTTTTTGAGTCTCGAAAATAGTGCATATTGCAACACATTATCCAGCCGTTCATTTTTAAGATTTTCATATATTTATACATCTACTTGATTTTAACCATTTTTTAATTTAAATTTTTCTAATTAGGTATGAAAATAGATTTTAAGATAATACTAATAATTTTTTATAACAAAATTATATGTTTGATAAAATTTTAAGGCATGCCTTAATTAGATTGTTTAAGGTTCCATCCTTATAAAAACTGCACCCAATAAAATAAAAAATGTAAAGAAAACAAATTGAATATAGGTTATAAAAGTGCCCATAAAACAAAATTCCTCTACACCCCCTACCCCAGCACAGATCCCTATGTGCGTACGTAGACCCCTTGGTTGCCTTGGCTGCCTCCAGACGTTTTTTGAAACAGTAAGTATGATTGTACTACCATGGCTACCACAACTACCATAATAATACACCCACTACTACTACTACTCTACTATAGCAAATCCACTAGCACCGCCAACTTGCAACCGGTACCACTATTGCACCACCGCTATCATTCTACTACCACCACTACACTGCCTACCCGTGACCACCACAACCACTACTCTTCCTCCACCACCACCACTCCAACCTTCTCCAATGCCGCCACCACCACCAGCTGCCATCGCATTCCCATCACCGCTACTTTTCCTCGATCTATACTATTTTTTAAACTTCAAATTTTATGAAAAAACTTCATAAAATTATCATATTTAATGGGTGGATTTTTTTCATAAGTTTCTTAATGGCTTGAATTTATATTTTAACTCTATTTTTAATGAGGATAAAGTTTATATAGAGCCGAGGCTCTAAACAATCAAATTAGAGCCCGCCTAAAAAATTCCACTTTAAGAGGTTGTTTTAATGCCCTAATATCTTCAAATTGATCATCTCGACATCAAGATGTATGAACATGCGAAAAAAATGGATTTTAAGTTTTGGAAATAGTGCATATTGCAACGCATTTTGGACCGTCAATTTTAAAGATTTTCAAGTGTTCATAGATCTACTCGATCGACACTATTTTTGAAACTTCAAATTTTATAATTAAAGATGATAATATATTTTAAGGCTATCACAGAGATTTTCATCATTGAAAACACATTTCTCGACACTATTTGAAGGTACGCTTTACTTTGACTATCGAGAGCCTCGGCTCTATACAAAACGCACCCTTTTATTATTGCATTGGCTTTATTTTGGAGTTCTTTTTTCATAACTCTCTTAAAAGTTTTTTTTTCTATGACTCAGTTAAAAAATATATTTTTTTACTCTATATTTCTTAATGGCTTAGATTTATATTTAAACTCTATTTTTATTAATGGATTGGCTTTATTTTAGAGTTATTTTATCCATAACTCTCGTAAAAGTTTTTTTCATAACTCTAAAATACTAGTAGTATGCACATGCGTTGCAGGTGTTATATTACATGCATAACATTTTAATAAAGAAAATAAATTTATAAAATCATTAATAAAATATAAAATGAAATAAAAATTAAACTAATTTCCACAATAAAATAAAATTATTAGTTTCTCACACAAGTAGGGAGAAAGCGAAAGAGTGATGAAATACTTTTCATAGCGAAAAAGAGATGTAATACTTTTTGATTGAATAGACATAAATTTAGCGAAAGAGTGATGAAATACTTTTTGATTTAGCGAAAGAGTGATGAAATACTTTTTGATTGAATAGACATAAATTTAGCGAAATGAATAAATTATTTATGTATTATGATAAATAACACACAAAATTTTAACATATCAAATTAAGTAAATATAGAAAGGATATAATTATGATTATTAGTTCAATTATAGTAATATTTATTATTTATCAAAAATAAATGTATATTATATAATTATTCATAAGTTACTAAAATAGATTAATATAAAGAACCCAAAACAATAAATTTAATATTATTCAGTTAAAATTCTAATAGTATAATATAATTGTTGTATCTACGACTAATCAAACTATATTTACTATTGTTAAACTAAATGAATTATTAGATGTTTACAATTATCAATGTATAATTATTATTGTTCAGGTACATATGTTGTTCACATTTACAATGTCGGCCAAAGTATATCCGAAAATAATAAAACTAATATGGAATATATTTTTATAATAATATTATTATTAATATGGGATTTATACAATGAGACCATTTACATTTGGTACAGGGAGGTCCAATTACTTACAACCATCTGATATCAAATCTTATAGCTTGAGTGTATCACAAAGTTCAAGAAAACTTCTTTTAAACTT